AATAAAGCTAACCAATGAAAGAAAATGCAACAATTTGTATGCCATGGATTTTAATATTTCATTTGTGTCAAGTAGCCCCTAGCCACACATGTCCTTGCTACAGACAAGTCTGGTGGGGCACAGGGCACAGAGTAACATTTTGCTGAAGCCAATTTGACTATCTTGTTACATGCTAGTGACATATTACATCCTATTATATTATGTACTGAGATACAATGTTCTAAACATTATGTCAACCTTTTTTCCCTTGCAGTTGTGAATTACTAAGAGAAATTTTAGAGAATCGAATGCCCCGCTCCATCCCTCACCTCTGTGCCACCTTCAGCTCAACTGGTTGGGGAAAGGGGGTTTTAAATTCACGGTCACACTTTGTGCAGGTCCTAACCTGACCTTGCATTTGTCCACTCATGTTAACAGACGTGCCTGTGACCAGACAGAGAGGCATGCGTTTCAGCCCTAGAGGCCCAGGGTGGAGGGGACTCCACCAAGGGGACTACCTCCAGGTGCTGGGCAAACCCAAGGGGTCAGAGAAGGCCGGACAGAAGATGGAAGCTTGAAAACTGAGCTAAGAGTTTAAAGGCAGACCAGGCAGGTCCAGGGACCTACCGCAGGCCTGGCTGCACTGAAGTTTCGTATGGTGTCCTATTTTATCCCCCTTCATTTTACTACGTCATAGCCATGTTGGCTGGGCTCAGGGAAGGTTCTGGGTCTACTCTGGGGCCAAAACTTAAATGACAACCATAGGATTGTGGGGACAGCCATGACTAAAGTTAGTAATCCCTAAAGACAAGGTGACCTAACTCTCCTTTCCCGTAAGACTTCTTTTCTAGGCTGAAAATAGTGTGTTAGAGGAGGGGTAGAAGAGGGAGACCAATCATTGAACGCCTACGTGCCAGGTGCTTTATAAATGGTGCTTAGGCAATCAACATGACCGTTATTTAAAACAAAAAACATTTTTCTTTGATAAGTGCACAGTCTCATCATTAAAAAAAATAGAAAATTTATAAAACTAAAACCACCCATAATTCTACCACCGTTCTTACCATATTGTTTTCATATAGGAATTTATATGTTAGGATTGTACTGGATTGTTTATTTTGCTTTTGTCCCAGGTTATGAGAATATTTTGAGTAAATGTTATAATGTGAATATTCTGAAGCAATATTCTTCAAGAGCACTGACTATAGAATTATTGTTGTATGGATGAAATAATTTAATCATTCTGTCAGACATTTATTTCTAATTTTCCATTCTTTCAAATAGCTTTTCACATAAAGGTATATAACTGGCTTCTTATTCGATTTTGCATCTCTACTAGCAGGGTCAAATTTTAATGTTTTATTGTATTTTTGGGGGGTCTATGGTCAATCCACCCTGCAACTTAAGTAATGCTTTTTGCAATATTCACAACCATAAATTCATGGTCTCCTCTGTTTCTTGCTTAACTTCTTAAGGAGCTCTGAAAGGCAGATTGCTGCTGGACTCCTACGGATGTGGGGGTGGGCTGACACGAGCCGCCCCGTCAGGCCCAAACCCTTTCCTGAACACCTCTCTAAGCTTTCCAGCCCCAGATCTCTGAACCTGGCTGAAGTAGCAAGGACTTCGGAGTCATGTGTTTGCATCTTAACATTTATTAGCCTGGAACACAATTCAAGACACAGCATACATTGATAATACATCATAGGTCCCATTTTTGCTTTTCATTGCAATTCATATTTGCACTTAAACTATCTTTAACTTACATAAGTGTAAAGCCTCATCGAAAATTTGTCGTAAAATTCCCTGTAACCCAAAGCATTCTGAACTGATCACGTGCTTAAAAATGCCTCAGGTTGGCTGAATGAATTATTACTTACTACAGACTAAATGATAAAGATCTAATTTTTTCTGGCTGTATTTTTTTTTTTTAATCCTAACACAAATGCACATTTTGGTTTTGGAGGTAAGTTCACATGTGTTTGTAAATATCTTTACTGTTTGCCTTCTTACAGTTCTTTGTTTGGGAGTCTGTCATGCTGGGGTATCTTGATGGCTTCCATGGAGGAGACTGTCTCATTCACCCCCCACCACAAGACTAAAGTTAGGCCTTGGCACGCAGCGTTCCTCCCATTTCTATTATGAGGAATGAAAGAAGTTACCTGTTACTTTAGCAGACTAACATTTGAGATGTGCTTTCAAAGAAAACTGTAATCACCTAAAACATTACCAAAAAATGCATTATCCATACTCAAAATAGATGTGTGGATGAATGAATTTAGGTGCGGATTAAATAACAAGTCATGTTTCGGAATCTGGAAAATAGCAATACCATTTTTGTAGATGAAAAATCAGAGAAATGCCTATGAGGAACTGTTTCTTTCTCTCATTTTTTTTATGGGATAGATGGTAATTTGAGAGCTGTTTGGGGGAAATTCATGAATGAGGAAAAGGCTCTTCTAGACGACTTGAATTTTTCAGAGACCACATGGCAAAAAATGCCAGGTAACCAAAAATATGAACTAGACCACATTATGTATGAATGAAAAAGGGGTCACATACTAAACCTGAAAAGCTCAGGGGAGGCCTGCATGGCAGGCCCTATAAACTCAGAGACTAAATTTAACCACGTAGGATGATCTGAACACAAAAATTCCTAACTAAAAGTAGGTCATGGCGGGTAGTCACATCCTTGGCCTGTCACTTCCTTGACAAAAATCAGTCTTTACCTGAAATGAGCCTATTATCTCTTTGCATCTAATTTTACATGCCCTTGAAATGTCAGAGTCACCCCCTTTTTGGAACCCCTCTGGGCACAGCCCACCACACCAGAGCAGGAGACCACAGAACTCGTTATCTTGTTCCCGCTACCATTTCTGTGCTGTAAATGTTAATTATTAACTATCCTGTACCCACCAATGTAAAAGGAGTATGTCTCTCCATTTTACTTTTTATTTTATTTTTTATGTCTTTTTCTTTTTCCATTTACTTTTTATCCAATCCCAGAGAATTCCCCGCTTTGCTTTCTCCCACTGCCTAGGCTGCCCCTAATGCATTTCACGTAACTCAGGAAACCTCTGTATGCCTCCTCCTCTGATTCTAAAGTGTGACATAAGCTGCAAAACTGCCATTTATTTATTTACTTATTTACTTATATTGGGGAACAGTGTTTTTTTCCAGGACCCATCAGCTCCAAGTCAAGTACAATAGTAGTTTCAATCTAGTTGTGGAGGTGCATCTCAGTGGCCCATGTGGGGATCGAACCAGCAACCTTGGTGTTATGAGCCTGTGCTCTAACCAACTGAGCTAACCGGCCGCCCCCAGAGCATTTTCTTAATATGTTGAGATTTTGCTTCCTGGCAATTGTCGTCAGTTTGGCTCAAATAAACTCATTCAAGTTCTCTATAGGTTTGGATGTTTCTTACGTTGACATATATTTTATGTATATACAAGAGAATGGGATGAAGGAAAATGAAGATAACATAAATTCAATGTTAAAGGTAGACTTCAGAAAGTGAGGTCTTACGAGCTAAGGTCTAAATTGGGAGGTGGCTTAAGCTAGTTGAGAAACCTCAAAATTAAATCCTGAAGAAGAAAAGGCAGAGTAAGAACATCTAATATGGCTAAAGAAGTTCTTGAATAAAATCAGATAATAAAAGGCCAGATTTTCAAAGGAAAATGAAAGCATGTAACGAAAAATTGACAGAATATAGAAACAAAGATGAGGCCCAGCCGAGTGGCGCATTGGTTAAGAGCTCGCTTGGGACGCCAGCTCTGAGCAGCAGGGCCCTGGCTCGGATCCCACATTAGGGCCAGTGATGCTGCGCCCTCTACAGCTAAGATGGTGAACAACAGCTCGACCTGGAGCCGGGCTGCTGTGAGTCACAGGCGACGGCGTAGGCTGCAGCCCCTGCTGCAGTGGGCTGCCATAAGCTACCGTGAGTGGGCAGCAGCCAGCGTGAGCTGCCAAGAGCCACCATAAGCGGCCATCCAGAGGCTGGCGACCAATCTGCCTCTCCCCGAAAGAGCGCAATGATAATACCAACATGGGCCAGTGAAGCCAGTGAAGCAACATCCTCCACAACTAGACTGAAGAACAAAAGGACAGCAACATTTCTGTTCCCCTTCCCGGATTCCCCAACGCTGTTCCCCTCCCGCAATGAAATCTAGAAACAACTGAGGTATCTATGCTTGATGATAGACTAAAGGGGAAAAATTCGAGTTAGTCTAAGAAAATACTTGCTAGTAACTCAGAGGGCCTTAAAACTAATAAGGGTGTCTTAAGAAGTGGTAAATGCCATTACCAAATTTATTACTAATGAAATATCCTTCACTTTTCACAGCATTTATGAAATCATTTTGGATTAATAACATATCAGTGTATCAGCTTTTTATATCCCATTGTATGATTATCACATATAAATTGGAAAATTATAAATTTCCTATTCCTTTTGTTCCTGAACACTATGTAAAATTTCACTAAACACACCTCTTGCTTCAAGCTATTTTGTACATGTAATATTTAAAAATAATGAAACAATTAAAATTACAATGTTTCCCCCTTTTATGCAGCATTCCAATTCAAGATTCTAACATTTTTTTAAGTAAAAAATATCCATTATCCCAACAGTTTTCTAACATAAAGCACATATTTGATTGAAATGGAAACTGAAGTATTAGGTAACTCACAGAGTCTGTGAAAACACAACAAACTATTATTCAACTCCTACTCAATCAAGGTTTGGGGTAGGACCTGTGTGTAGAATAGTGTGTGAAATGACAGTTTGCACAAAACAAACAAACAAAACACCAAATGAACAGCATTTTAGATCTTTGTGGGGAAAAAAGATATCCAAGAAAAAGTACACTATGGAAATCAATGCTGAGAAGGACAAGAAAACATTTTTATAATTATGAACTTTATTTTTATTTACTATGCCAACATTTTCAGGAAAGAGACTTTACATCCAGTTTTTATAATTCATTTTACAAGCAAATTCTAACATACAGTATTTACTCTGAACTTTTTTTTTTGTATCAGTGGAAAAAGCAATACTGCAGACATTAAAGATTGTGGTGTTTTTGTTTTTAGCTAGTAATGGTTTAGAGATTTTAAATTCTTAGGGTATTATTTTGTTATGGCAATAATTTATCAATGAGAAAGTGGATAGCTTTCCCCCAACAAGGTTAAAACTTATGACGCATCTTTAATTAACAGCAGTTGTAGATTGGCACCCACCATCATAATCATTTATCCAAATGTATTCTTTTCAAATTACTGCAGCAGAAAAATTGAAGGAAGGTGTGGAAAGAAAATTAGAAAATATAACTCAAGCATGAGAAGAAAAATAGCAAGGCCATCCTCCCCAAGGAAAAACATCAGGTATTTGCATTACAGCTATGATTAATTTTCAAATGTGTGTGTAAGCATGCAAACATAACCACCCCAAGTAATTTATAAACACGGAGTCTAGTGCGTAAGATTGATGGTTAAACTGAAACTGTGCTGCAGTCTCACTCATCTTCACTGCAAACCTATTTGGTGACCCCCAAATTACATCCTCAGTGCCCTGGAGACCCGGAAGTCATGAGGACAACGCTGCTCAGAAATTAAGTGTACCTCTGTGTCTGTAACACTATCTATGATACAGGAAGACTTAGAAGTGACAGCTATAGGAGGATCCTGTTCTCTTTGATGCATTGATTAAAATACTTAAGGGGACAAGGAAACATTCAAAAAACTTAGTGCTTTAATGGGAAAAGTGACATGCCAAGGACATAAATCTGTGAAAGGCTATACTTCAAACAGCAACAATCACAGAGAAACTTATTTCAACAAAAAAGCCACACCTAACAGGAGGCATTTTGATTTTTCAGGCACGACTACAAGCAATTAAGCTCACTTAAAGTGCAAATCTGATTATTTTCTTTCATATTCAGATTTTTACTTGTTAAAATACTTAGTAAGTTCCCTAACATCTATATAAATACAATGAACAGTAGTCTTTACGCCTGAAAATATTGCACAAATTAAAATGAGATTCCAGGGCCAGCCGAGTGGCGCAGTTGGTTAAGAGCTCGCTCAAGAGTGCAAGCTCTAACCAACAGCGGTTCTATGTGCGGTTCGATGTCCAGCCCGAGCTGAGCTGCCACTGAGCTGCCGCGAGGTGGCAGGATGGCTCAGCTAAAAATAAAATAAAATAAAATGAGACTCCAAAAGAAAAATGCTCAAGGGTCTCAGTCTTTAGAAACATTCTAAATGATACAGCTTTGTAATCCTTTAATGCCTTCAAACCATCTGCACCTGTACTGAGAATCTCCTTAGGCCAAGCTTTCTTTAAAGAACTTGATAAGCATTGTATTGACAGCCAAATGTATAATTCTACATACTCTAGTAATTTTCTTTTTCACAAATGAGAAATTTAGCCAATCCCCAGAATACTTCTTCCTCAGGATGTGGAATTCATACACCACAACCATCTTCACTGAAATCACAAGAACTAAGAAAAAAGTGATCTGAGTTCCTGTGGAGGGGATTTGGCACTGAGTTGATTTACAGAAACACTGACCAGAGATTAAGTCAAATCTGAGATGTGATCTCTGATTACTCAGGCAAGCGAATTCCTCCCCTCACTTCTGAGGGAACATTTACTATGGAGCAGCCTAGCATAATATTCCTGCAGCTTTCAAAGAAAACTGCAGGCAAATACTTGGTTGTTTTGTGCAAGCATCCTAGATTGTTTTCTCTTAAATATATTATGCTTCATAATTATATTGATGAGCCTTCTGCAAGATTAAAGCTCAACAAAGGTACAGACAGGTTGAACTGATGGGTTCACATTTCTGCAAATTCACCAGAGAAAAAAAGTAAACCAGGAAAAGATGAGAAGAAACAAATTGCAGAAGTCAACATTTTTGTATAATAAACAAAGACATTTCCCTCAGACTAGGGAATTAAAAATAAAGTAAAAAATTAAAACTTTTCCCTTAAAGGTCTACTTGTAAGTAATATTTCACGAGTGTGTGTGTGTGTGACACGTGCTGTTGAGTCAGCTCCAACTCCTGGTGACCCTCTGAGTGAGGGACGTCCCCATGTCCTATCCTCACAGCCCTGCTCAGCTCCCGTGGGCTCCTGCCTATGGCTTCTATTATGGAGTCAATCCATCTCTTGTTTGGTCTTCCTCTTTTCCTGCTGCCTTCTATTTTCCCCAGCACTACTGTCTTTCCCAAAAAACCTTCCCTTCTCATGATGTGCCTCAAGAGTCTATATCAACCTGTAAATCAACCAAAAACCTACTAACTCATCAGTACATTTTACTTTGGGAAAACATAAATATGTGTGATAACATTGCATATGCAATTATGAGATCAGTTTTCTTTCTCCTTCAAAATGAAAGAGCACATGTACCACTTGTCACTAGCTGTAGCCATTACTGCTCGTCTCCTGAACAAACAAGAGCTTTGCTGATATATACGCCTGATCACTTTATACTAACAATATCTGGACTATGTGAAAAACTTTCTGAACTTCAGTGCTTCTCCTGCCAAAGTGTTGAGAGTATGACACTAGATTTGTGATGCTCACCTGGACCAAATCCAAGAACTGTAACCGATGAATGGCAAATTCACTCGAATGGTAAGGAAGATGGCATCAAAATGGTAGTAAACGCCTCTTTTGAAATTTCCTCGAAAGTACTTACTGTTTTTTCTCTTACAAGGGCAGACAATTTTACCAATGTATATTTTTAAAAGAAATCCCTAGAAATTTGAGTGACTAACTTTTTGCCCATAATCCCTTTTGATACAGTTTTGGTCAGCGGATCACACACAAAAAATGTACATTGTAAAAAGCTATCTGTCTGAAAGACATTAATTCTTATTAAAGCAGCAACAGGGGCACAATCTGAAGATGACATGATTTGGGAGAACAAGGGGGCACATTTACAGAACCACCTGAAGAGCGGCCCGCAGCGTGATTAGGTCAGCACATCTGGTCCCTTGGCGGTTTCATAGCTACCTTCCTAGCACATTAAAATAAATAAGCATATTGCCATTGAAATATGTTTTAATACCTTTTAATAAAACACAATTTCCCCTCTCTAATTTTGTTTTTCTTCCCAAATCTATTCTTCAAGATGTTGTCATTCAAACATTTACCAACCTAAAAGGGAAATCTGGAAAACTCAGCAAAACTATTATGAATGCTAGCTTTCACAAGATAGTTTTAAATTTATAATTATTCTCAAAATATCTTCACTTGTTTTGCTACAGAAAATAGTTTTAAATCCCCATGTATGGGATCTTCATATCCCATCAAAGTTTTGTGCAAACATTTCAAGTCTATTATTCCAGTCTTCAGATATTAGCACAAAGTCAATAAATATACACATTACAATAAAGACTTAATTTAAAATATATGCTGTGGAACTTTAAAATAGCTACCATGGATCCATAAGCCTACAGGGTTCAAAACGGAACTACCAGCAAAACTCTAGCACCAACATATGTTCTGAATGAATACATCTTTAGATAAAGGTTTCAAGATGCATCTCAAGCTTTCCAAAATTTATCCAGTAGCAAAAACACAATGGTGTGTGTGTGTATAAAATAAGATGTTAAAGCAACATGTAATTGGTTCATATATAATATGAAACATTTTTGCGTGGGGGATTTGTCTGGTAAATAAAAATTGAGAGTAGCGTGCTGATAAATAAAACTTACATAGACTTGCCATTAAATGCCTGATTTTCTTTATTTATCACAGAGCTTTGCATAGACCTTTCAATTTCCAAATATACAAGTCACTGGCCAGCACTCTGCTTACAGACTACTGTCTTCCATTATCACCAAATCTTTAGTTAAAATAATAACCGTATTTACAGGAGGGACAAGTGAAAAAGGGTGAGGCTCTGAGAACCACAGTTAATACAGACCTTAAAAGGACTCAATCAGCAAAGCACATTTCTTGCCTGCTACGTGTAATAATATGAATTTTCCGATGTGCAGAGGGATGGATAACATGATTAGGCCTTTGAGATGGGTAAGCAAACTTTTGTGTTTACCTGAGACAAATATAGTCAAATGCTATGTACTTCAACCAGGATATAAAATGGAAGAGCCCAAACTAGTAGAAGCTTCCACATTTTAATTTTTAAGATTCGTCAAGCTTTCAATGAAACCTCCATCATGGCAGCAAGCTGCATGTAAAGCTATTACAGAACAGATGGTTTTTTTAAAAAGCAAATTGGCAGGTGATGGCTATGTACTTAATGTATCTTTGGTTTAGGAAGACGAGAATATCGATTAGAGGCCAAACAATCCCCAGAATTCAAATTGCCATTCGGATTCTGCATGATTTCTTTTCTTTTTGTTAGTGGCCTTGGGATGCTTGTCTTGGCCTGGAAGTTTTGAGGCTCTAGTCGGGGGTTGCTTATTTGTTTTTGTTTGAAAGAGGCAGAAGGGGGGCGAAGCTTAGAAGCTTTTGGATTCAGATTATTTGCAAGATTTGTTTGACTAGATGTTAGCTGAAGTTTTGCTGAATTACATGGTGTGATTATTGGTGAGTTCTTACAAGTGGGAGTCCTACTTGGATATGATTCAGAAACTGAAGGAGGTACCAAAGAATTCAAGGTGGATGGCTTAAAAGGCTGCAAGGATTTGGGCTGAGATGTGTAGTCTTCCGGTGATGACTGATTTCTTCCAACTTTCTTGGCCTGGTCTACTGTGCCTGCCTGGGTAAGTGTGTGAATAGAAGTGGGTACAAACTGCATGTCATTAATTTGATTATTTGCCAAATGATGAGGATTTTGAGCATCCATGGTCACATTCAAATCTGCTTCCACAGGTGTACTCTTAGCCACATCCTTAGTCAACTGCGGGCTTGACGAACGAGGCCGGTCTTCCAGACCACAGTCGCTTTCTTGTTGCACGCCGTGCGTAAAGCTTTCATCCAGATGTGCAGCACCCTGACGCATGCCCTGGGCTGTGCATTCACTGTGGGCCTCGATGTGTTGCGGTTTTATTAGTTTTCCCTGGGCGTGGTCTGTGGGTCTGGGAAGGCTGCTGGAAGGCTGTAGTACTTGAGGCTATTTTAAAATTAAAAACAACATAAGCAACAATTAATTTCAAAATGCCACCCAGAATTAATGTAAGTTCTAATTAGGCTCTGTTGGAAGTATGTGGTGTTCTTTTATATTAAGAATAAATTACAATATCAAATGAATTCATGAGACAAATACAAGAGTGATAATGCAAACAGAAATGATACAGGCAGGAAATACTATACATGATCCAACATCAAACAGGAGAAAAGAAAAATCTTAAAGTACTTATTTATGGTTAAAAAAAAAAGATTCCTGTCTTAATTGATTCATTAATGTATTTAAAACTTTATACATGAGAGCTTGACAGAAGGATTCCTGTGGTACTTTGGCTTAATCTCCATAAAGCATTCAGACAGTAACTGTGACCTTCAGACTATTACCAATTTTTAAGTTTTTTTTTTTAAAGGAAAGCTGTATACCACTTTATCACACTTGACTACAGGAAGTATTAATTTAAGTGTCAAGGTGCCATACCTCTATCAAGAATTAAAATTACCAGCAGATATTCCCATCCCCTAATTCCCCAATAAAAATCTTAAAAAAAAAAAAATACCAGCAGTTAAATAATCTGCTTTAGAATGAAGATTATATTCTTAGTTGATGTGAAATTCTAATTAAGCAACGAAAGTTCAATACACTTAGCTAATGCTAACCTAGCTTTAATATTGTTGTTGAAAAGTTTCAGAATAAAATGTCTTCATACCTTATTTGTTGTCTCAACGCCATATGAGAGATCAATTAAGGTTCTGTTATAGCTCATAGGTAGAAAACAGATTTACCTTGCCCAAGAGTGAACATCCATTTAATAAAATTAAATATGATCAGCCTTTTGAATGATGGCTGAGAGTAAAATATTTGAAGTTGCTTGTACAGTAAAACGTTGGATTGCGAGCAACTTGGTTTGAGAGTGTTCGGCAAGACAAGCAAACATGTCTAATACATTTTAATGTAGTAAAACGATGTCTCGCAATACAAATAGTTTGTTTCTGGAACGAATTATGCTCGCAAACCAAGGTATTACTGTAGCTTGAACTAAAGCTCAGAAGCCTAAAATAAAATAGCCAAGTTCTCACCATTCTCTGGAGTTCACTGTGCGGTTATATTCTATACAAATCAGAGGAAATATACAACTTCCACTACTTTTGCACATTCAGTAAAGAAATATGAACCTTAAAGTTATCTTTAAATAGATGGGCAGAGCCTACTGGTCATGTCCTGATGAAGTGGTTGCTATAAATGTATAAACACACACACACTCACACACACACACTCACACACACACACACTCTTCATTAAATAACACGAGCTGAAATATCAAGAAGTTTCTCAAAGGGCTTTGAAATGTGAACTTCAAAGGACGATTTTTTACTAATAAAATAACTTTTTTTTAAACTATGTTGATCCATAAAAAAAATCTACATAGTATCTAAATTCTCCAACAGAAGGGACAAATCTATTCATACTGCATCATTTGTTTTGCCATTTATTTCACCTCCTTGACCAGCCCTGAGCCAGGGCCAGCAATCAGGGATTGGATTATGGCAGGATTACCAGGGACTGAGGACAAAGTTCCCTGACTCAAGGAAATCCGGATGGTTGGCCATGATGGTATAGGGCTGACTTACTATTAAATAATAAAATCAAGACAATGACTACTCAAAATTAGCCCATACAGAATATGTTACACTAAACTCTTATTTTAGAATGTTTAAAATAAATAAGCCATCTCAGTCTTTACTTCAAGCTGCTTTCCTTGACTTTAGAGTTGGTGGGCATTTTCACAATAAATTATCATGGAAATGAATCAACTGCCCTTTATGATTGAAAGTACTAAAATCACCATGTAATTCATTCAAAAGACTCTCCAGGGGGCTTCCTAGAAAAAAAAAATGACCTAACTAAAGTGCTCATACATTTATGAAAAATTTAAAAACATATATACAGCAGCAGCCTATTAAAACAACCAAAATCTACCAAAGGAAAAAAAAAAAAAAACAACAACCAAGGAGGAGAAAGGTGCAGCATCAAATGGCTGATTGAATAGGGATTTGTTTTCCCTTTTTACCTTCATAAACTATTAATAAGATATTCTAGTCTTGAGTTAAAAATCTTAAAGCAACTTAAGACCTTTGAAAATATCAGTGACTATTACAAGAAATGACTTTATTGTAATATGTTTATTTCCAGTAAAAAAAAAGGTATGAGCAAGTGCTATCAGCTCAAAGATTAAGAAAGTATGATTTTATAATTAAGACAAAGTAATAAAACGATTAAGATAACCAAACTGCAGAAAAGGGGCACTGTGAACTATAGATAAATTATCCATTTGCACTGTTCTGATTATTTATATTACCCAACTGCTATTAGAGAACTAAATGGCAATACAGCAGATAGAAAGATGTGCTGCTTGCATTAAACGCAATGAATCTCCACATCAAATACAAAAGAATTAGAAAATAATCAGGTTTTTTAAAATAACAAAATTTTGAGTCTTTTAACTGATTATATTTAAAAATCTAAACTATCACGTAATTACATTAAATATATCAGTAGTTACAAAATGATGAATAAATAATGTCTATTTTATATTTTTACTAAAAGTTTATTTTAGTGGAGTGACAGAATTTCCCTATCCTATAAGAAATATACTGTTTTATTGTTTTTTTGAAAACTAGTTTGCAAATCAATTCAACTGTAAAGAAACAGTCTCTTGAAGAAGACCAGGAAATGACTTTGGCAAGAATATGGAAATCACTTGCTCCTGATTTGTGGAAGATGTGGTAGAGTTGGTTACCCACTGAGAACTGGATTGTCATTAATTAGCTGCTGGCAAGTTGAACAAGTTGCCTCTTAACATCCAGCAAGCAAAGGAGAGATGTTTTATGATAGCTTGTTGCTTGCAGTACAATTTTCCTAAATTCTAAACACTCAACTTGTATAAATATAAATGCAAAATGTTAACAATTCAACTTGTCCACATCCACCACTGCTTCTAAGCCCTCAGATATCTTTAGAATGCATTCTAAGTATAAAAAGAAACATCCCATGTTCTCATGAATAATAAGACCAATAGAAAGGAATAGCAAAGACCATTCATTCATTTCAAAAATGTCTATGATTTATCATGCACTGTGCTTAGGCGTAGGAAAATATGGAGCTGAACACAATGCTATTCCTGTGGCTGAGAGGCCCAGTGGGGGAGATAGGTAAACAGATGATGAGACCATATATCAAGCGTAACAACATGGGAATAAAAAGAAAACCTATGTTTGATCAGAGATTGCAGAGGGCTTCAAGAATCACAAACATCTGCAGATGAGTAGTTTTCCAAGTAGACAGAAAGGGAAGAACATTGAGTGTAGAGGACCATATAGAGCACAGACGCAAAACAAGAACACGGTACATTCTAGTAACTTCAAATTGAATATGGAGAACATAATACTGGTGAAAAGTGTAGGCAAGGTCCAGCTCATAAAGCAACTCCTGTCAGGTTAAGTAGGTCTGACTTGTGCAGCAGATGATGGGAGACGCTGATGAATTTTAAGCAGCAGAATCATAATGATGCAATGCAAATTTCAGGATGCCACTGTTGGAATCAGTGAGGAATGTACAGGGAGGGAGTGAGGCTGTAAGCAGAAGAGCCAGGTAGTGTGCTACTGCTAACAGCCCCAGTGATAAATTATAAGGGTCTAAAATTGGGATACTGAAAGAGAAACTGGAAAGGACCGAAAGAGATTTTGAAGAAAGGACAGGTAAGTGGCTGTTTGGGAGGATTTTAAGATGAGTTCCAGGTTTCTGTTTGGAGATGCAAGATGAGGTGTTGCCTTGTTTTAAAAAAAGTTCTCTGGGGAAGTTGCCCATTAATTTCATAGCCTCAGCAGCCCATAGACTCAAGGCAAAAGGGATTCCCCCCACTACTACGGGGACTTCAGGAAATTCCCCTAGTCCCAAATAAGTGGAACTTTAGTAGTCCATCCTTGAAACTTGTAGAGCGGTTGGTTACTGAACCTTTAAAACGTGGACCCCATCCCTAGACTTAAAAAGCCAACTGCTTCTAACTGGACTCAGTAACTTCAAGTCTTACTTTAGTTAGATACATACACTTCAGCACATTATTCTGAGAATTCTCAGATGCAAGGTTACAAAGTATCAAGGTCAAGAATGCCAGCCATAGGCACTACTGGGTAATTAATTGTTGAAGGGATTGGTAGGCATCGTCAATGATTATTTTGGGCTGCTTACAAAGATAACCAGAGGCTATGAGCTCCTTACAGGTAAGTACCATGCTTTATTCATTTTTTGTTGTTGTTGTTAGTATCCCCAATATCTGGCACATAGTAGATATATATATATATATACATGCTACATAAATGAATAATTAAATGAATATTAGTGAGTGGTATATTCCAGAATTGCTTTGGTAATACATTATCAAAGTGATACTTCCCTATTAGGTCAATG